GGAATGTGATCGAAAAATTCAATCGGTTGCCAGAAACTTCATCGAAAAATTCATATTTTAACGAAAAACTTAACCAAACTCAGAAAATTCAAAAAATTCTCAGATGATTCTAAGCCTTCTTCGAACCTTCTATGACCCTAAATTCACCTTAAAAACTTGAATTCACCCTAGAAACTTGAATTCACCTCCAGAATCCACAAATTAACTCCAAAACCCTAAGATCAAATCCCAAAAACCCTTACTGCCAAAATTTTCTCAAAATTTTTCCAACAATTTTCTCTCTATTCTCCTTGTTTTTTGTGTGTGTTTCAATGTGTTAGAATTAGTTCAATTTATAGGTAGCCTAGGATCAATTCAAGAAATGGACAGAATCAATCCCAGGCTTGATTCTTGGGATTACATTTTGTCCAGACGAGATTTTAGGTCCAAAATTTTAGTAATATTCATTTGATTATGTGTTGACCCAAAAATATGGTGATTCTGATTTGTAGTTACGTGCGAATTTAGTAGAAAATGAAATAAAAAAATAAAAATAAAAATAAAAATAAAAGTAAAAATAACAATAATAATAATAATAATAATAATAATAATAACAATAACAGAATCTAATTGACTAGAATGGGTTGTAATGGGCCTAGTCGGGTTTAACGAAAATGGGCCCAGCTAGGCTCGACCCAAGATGGGCCCAATTAGGCCCGGACCAGAATGAGCCCAGTTGGGTCGAGATCAAAATGGGTCCAATTGAATTGAATAATAATGGGTTCGATTGGACCCAAATCAAAATAGGTGTCCGACTGGGCTCGGATCAAAATAGGCTCGATGAACCCGGACCAAAATAGGTGTCTACAGTTGTGATATTGGATTCTTATTACAAGCTACAGTTTATATATTGGAGTTATAAGAAGCTATATAGGAATTATTCAATAGAGTTTAGAATAGTTACAGATAATATATGCTCTTTATGATGAATATGCTGATTTGGCAAAGCTTCTATTTGTAGTACATCCTTGGTTGTTTTTAATAGTTCTAATGACCAAACTATTAATGAGGGATCTAGCATAGCAACAAGTTTACATAAAAAAAGATGTTTGAAAGGCAATTGTTTATTTTAAAGTTTAATTTTTTATTACTTTTTTTGTAATGTTTTGTTATAAATTCTTATACATTTGAATATTTTAATTAGGAATTTGATACTTTTAACATTGAGAATGGTGTTACTGTATCAAAATCTCAATTAGAGCGATATTTGGAAGAACAAAAGCTTGATAAGACATAAGAGTTGAATGTTTTGCAATTTTGAAAGCAAAAACCAATTTTGGTATCCCAAGCTTGCTAATATGGCGTGAGATATCTTGAGCATTCCTGTTTCTACAATAGCATTTGAATCTATTTTTAGTGTTGGTGGTAAGGTTCTCAACCAATATCATAGCTCGCCTAAGCCAAAAATTGTGGAGGCTATTGTTTATTATAAGGATTGGTTATTTGGAGAAATTGCTTATGAGAGCTTAGATAGATTGTTAGATGGTGTCATCAATTTGGATATTAGGAAAGAAAGTTTTTCTTTAGTAAATTGCTTGACTTCATCTCAAGTTAATTGAGTTGTGCTTACTCATTGAATAGCTTTTAAATTATCATTGTTTTCTAAATTATTGTTTTTTTTTAAACTCTAAAGCTAGTAGGTTGGTATGTCTTGAATTTGGTATGATATTTGAAGTTTAATGATATGTTATATCTACTATGTATTCATGTATATCAGTGTTATTTGTATATATTATGTTTATTCGTGTAAATCAATATTATTCATGTTTTTTCATGTTATATTTAAACGGATTAATTATATATATGTTAATCGTTTCATGTCGCGTATAATATATATAATAAATGTGTCATAATCATATTTAAGATTTAAAACACATTTTATAATTTATGCCGTATTTGTGTTTCAATAATTGGTGTCATTATACGTGTCGAACATGACACAAAACATGATATGAAAATACAAGATATCAGGTCTAAAACATAAAAGACAACCCAAGACATCCACACGTGACCAAATTGTTATAAGCATAAGAAAGGCTTTAACCCTTTTTTTTTATTAAGAAAGTTAAAAAAAAAAACTAATTTACCCAACAAGACCCGTGAGAGATGAGTGATGAACAAGAAAGCTTAAGACATTCATGGACAATAAGAAAAAAAACAGCCTAAAGTTCACTAAAATCAATAAACAAGAAAAAAAATGAAGTTATAAACCCCAACTATCATAGATGCAAGTTGAGTTTTCCTAGGTTTCCATGGATCAAACTTAGGTAAAACATCCCATTTTCCTAACAGTTCATACGCACGAGGAAAGGGATACAGTAACTATAAAAAGATTGAAGCTTTCAGTTTGCATACACAAACTATACAAAAAAAAGCAAGAAACAAACAGCTTGTAGCGTGGACAACAATCCCAAATGCTGTAAATCATATGTAGAAATAGTAAGCCAAAAGAACAACAAGCTTCAAACCTACATACATACCATAAATTGAAACAAGAGAGTAAACATGGTAAGAAAATAGTTTCAAACTTTCAAACCATAAAAAACATAAAGAAACTTCAGCTTTCATACATAGTTTATATGTAGGTAATGGTTAACAAACGTAAAAAGATGAAGTTTTTACCTGGACATACCACGCACAAAAAAGAAAAAAAATACAAGCTTTAAGATTTCCCTAAATGAATTACATATAGAAAAAGAAAGACAAGACAAGATCGAAAATTTTTCGAACCAGGTTTTTTTTTTTTTTTTAACCTCACATAAAAGAACATGGACATGAAATACCATAACAAAAAGGTTTAGGAAGACTACCTTTCTCAAGTTTCCCTTTAAGTTCTAGTTTTTTTATCTTTTCAATCAAGCTTTCCTTTATCCCTCACTTTTTTTTTTTGTGTTATGGCTTTTATCTCTTTTTTTTTTTTCTCCCAACTCCAAGACCTTCTTTGAATGCTATTTTGTGCTTTTGTGTTTTTTCTCTTTTTGTTTTGTTTTGTTTTGTTTTTTTTTTTTTTTTTCAAATGGTCTCTAAACCTCTCTAAAAAAGAACCCTTCTCTGTTTCTTTTAACCTTCTTTTTGTAATGCCAGAAAGCCTTTCTTGCCAAGTTTCATCCTTTGTTTTTTTTTTTCCCCTCTCATGCCCATTGTTGGCCATTAATAGTGTTTTTCTTTTTTTAGGTTATTGTTGTACTGGTGTCATAAACCTTTAGCTTGTTTCAAGCGAATCATGTCTCTATTGGTGGTTTCTTCATGCAGCCTTCACATGATCAACCATTACAGCTGGGCTTTCCTTTGGTTTTGTTTTACTTTTGGGCTGGCTTGTTTCTTCCTTTCTCTTGTTTTATGATTGTCTCCATTTTTTTTCCATGCATCACGTGAATGAGCTACTTCTCTTCCTCTTTCTTTCTTTTATTTGGGCCTCCAAAACCTCCCAGCTTGCTGCTTGTTGTATAGCCTTCCAAACGTTGTTTTCATGCATGCCACCCTACGTGAAAAAAAAAGAACAAGTAACTAATGATGTGTTGGTTCAGTGTTAAGCAATCTGGCTCCCAGTGGACTTTACTTTCCAAAGGCAAAGGTTCGAAACTTGAAAAAGATCCTTGTTGGAAAGAGAGGTAACCTAGGTGATCACTGTTCTTAGATCACTGATGCTCCACTTCCCGGAATGGTGACACCATTTCCATTACCATTTTCTTACCAAAAAAAAAGAAGAACAAGAAGTCCCTTTCTGGGTCTTTCATTCTTTTTTGTCTTGGGCCATTTTATGAGTTCAATTTTTTTAGATCATTTTGGACTTAAATCTTGGGTTTTTAAATGGACTTCTTGTGGGCTTCAAATGGGCTTATCCTTTGGTCCCTTAATAAAAACATGGTTTTTGTTTGAGCTTTTCGAATGGGCTCTAAAATGTGTTGTGAATGGACTTGGTTCGAGTTTTGTTACTACGACCATCTAATGGGCCATATGTTGAGTTTTTGAATGGTTGTGTAATAGGCATTTAAAAATAGATCATATCATGAGCCCAAAAATACCATAACATGTACCCACGTCGGGTCTCCCATGCTATGGGTCCAAAGCCGAATTAAACCTAGCATGAGTTTATGTAAAATAATCCAAACCTTAGACGAAATCAACATACCCAAAATGATAAAAAATGCTCAGGATAAAATACAATGTCTACAAAGATAAATACCACGTGTACATATATAAAAGCAGATACAAGGTTCGAATTCGCAGCAACTCTGCTTTTATCACCACCAGACAAAATAGTGCTAGACTTTTCTCCTGTTAACAAAGAAATGATGGCCTTTGTCACTTCAAACCGGTAATTTATCAGTTTCTTTCGAGCAGCCTTGAAGGAGGCTGAGAATTAACAGAAAGATATTCAGTACAAGACGTTCCAAGTGATAAACTCCCGATAATGAATAGATACAAAGAAATATTGCATAGTTAACAAAACTTCTGTATCCAACAAATGGATGAAAAGGGGGTTGATGCTTACAGTGTTTTTAGCATATATATATGTGTGTGTATATATATATATATATGTATATATATTATTTAGCTCAAAGAACCTTTCCCCTTAATTAATTAATCATCAAGAACGAAGAAGGAAGGTGAACCCCAAACTATTTACATATAGCCATGGAAGAAAACTGAAATAAGAAAAAAGTAATTACAGAAAAGCTGAAATTTCCCTGGAGAATCCAATCTCCATATTATGACCCTATATATCTAGGAAGATCTTTCCTGTCTATAACTTCAGAGCGCCAATATTGAGCCTTGGACTTATTAGACGGCTTTGCCGTTCGACTGTTCATCTCCTATTACATAACTAAGAAGAAAAGAAAAAGGCCCAAAGTCCAGTACGCAAAAGTATAAATCTTCTTCGGTTTCCCGTTTGAAAATATGATGTTATGATACAAGGCTGTATTAATTTGAAGAAACTTCGGTGTGTATGGCTACCTCTATGGTTTCCTGCCGGTTGAAGGAATGATCTTGATAACAAGGCCAGGGAAAACATCATCAGGGTCATGGATGTGAGGGTTGCGCTCAACGATAAAACGGTCGCCGCACTTTTCGCTGATTGTGTGAAGGGTCTCTTTCTCTCCTACGACATATATTTCATCACAGGGTCGTTTCAGGAGCTGGCTGCCTCTCACAGGTTCATCTGACACAGTATTTGCCCTAATGGAGCCTATTAATATTAAGGCCAATAACGCTACAGCACAGTACCGCGAGGCTGCATCAACTAGCGGCGTAGATTTCTTCATGGTTTTGCTTGAGAAAGAAGAGGAAACCATGGAAAGAGAGAAAAAAGAGATTGGGTTTTCGAATCTTGATGTAAAAGAGGGAACAATAGGGGAATACAAATAGGATAAATAAGTAAGTGCCTTTTATACACTAATTGGACGTTTGCGTTGGTAGGAAGTATGGTTCGAGGAGGGCAGGAGAGGACAGGAGTATTTCAATATTATCAACAATCTATTGAAAAACATTTGATGTTGCTGAGTTTAATATTTAATCCTAATGTTAATAATTTATATTAGAACTTATGCATTGCTTAGTATTTTATTGGAATGACTAGAACTAAAATCTTTGACGCTTTGGGCAAGTTCATAACTCAGGAAGAAGCACCTTATAAAATGCCCAAAAATCACGACAATTTGGTCAGCGTGAATCCGTTTGAACCCAACACCGACCAAAAAATTGTGATGTATTTTTTTTTTTTTAGTTTCTAATCTATTATTGGAGCCTACTATTATACTTATTTGATTGAAAAATATTATTCCAAATAAATTTTTTTAAAATTCATAATTTTCAAACATGAATTTTAATAACATTCTAATCGATTTAAAAATCAATTAAAATGTAATTGATTTGTAAGAAACTTCAAAATTGAGATCATATTCAATTTCCTATCCAGAAACCTAATTAATGTAATAATTAGTGGTCATTGATAGTAACTTATATCATTAATTAGTGGTCTTCGTGTCATTAGATTGTGAGGTGAAACATTGAGTTGGAAATCTCAATTATTTGATAGTAACTTATATCATTAATTGTTGTAATGAACTTCCTAGTATCTTGTCCAAAAAAAAAAAAAATCCTAGTACAATATTTCCATAATATCTCAGTATGATGCAATTAATTAATTAATTAATCCAAACTACATTTTTTTTTTGGCGCATCTTCTACTTTCTATAGTGGCATATAAATCCATGGCTAACATTAATGATAAACAGATAATTCATGCATATGCTTCTTAATTATTTAAGAGACTTTTTCTATCATTTTATCAATTTTCCTCAAGTGGTTTACTATTGCTTTTTGTTTCTTTTATAAAAGAGGCACGTCTAAAAATAGAAAAAACAATTGTAAATGATAAGATTTAAATTTAAAACTTATTAGATATTAATTTTTAAAAATAATTATATAAATTTATTAAGTTAAATTTCAAATTTTATTATTTTTTCTTTTCATTATAATTTGACATGGGCGATATATAAGATCAGAAGACTTTTTTTTTTTTTTAATAATTACATCTTTTGCTTTAACGAAAACAAACTACGTAAGATATTAGGTAACCGTCAAAACAATACTAATAATTTTCCTTTTTCCTTCATATTTTTTCTACAAATTGTTAAAGGATTTTTCAATGGATATTAGTTAAGGCACGCATGCCTATCATATATTCCAATCATGATAATTGGAATATCCTAGCCAAGCACCAGCAATAAGCATGTAATATATGTTTTATTTCGGCTTAATTTTTTTTTGGATTTAATTTCTTCGCTATTTATAATATAAAGGATCATTTCTGAGCAAAATTTAGGTGAAATTTTTTATATGAAATTTATAGAAATGATTTAATAAAAATTTTATTAAAAAAATTTAAATCAATAAATTGATAGAATTTAATATAAAGACTAATAATATGTAAAAATTATTTAAAATATTATTTAAAATTCAAACTTGATTTATATTTATTTGACAGTAAAAATTTTGTGAATATTTTTATTAAGAATAATTATTTAAAAAATTTCAAAATTTTTTTAAATTTTGTACATTTGATTCATATAATAAAACTTTTTAATTTATTGATTTTGATTTTAATTTTTAATTTTATTTATTATTTTAATAAAAAATTTTACAAATTTCATTTAAAAAACTTATCTTCCTCTAATGTAAGGGAAATTATTAAGTAATTAAATCCACCACTCCCCTTAAAAATTCCATTTATCAATGGCATGTAACAGAACATATCACAAAAATCCTTTGTGAGTGGGGGTGGCGTAGTGCGAGTGTGGGTGCGACTTTGTGTGTGAGCGTGGCGAGTTGCGTGAAGCAATTGTGGCCTTCCCACTCTCCACCTTTGGGAAAAATTCTATAACCATCAAAACCCACACTGACCCACTAATCTATTTGTAAAACCCATCTTAAGGGGCGGGCTAATAATTATATATATAATTAAACATCATAATACATATAGTGTATTTATTTTATATTAAATATATAAAATATAAAATTTATTATTTTATAATTATTGTCAATAAATTAAAAATAAAATTTATTTTTTATTTTTTAAATTTATATAATTTTTATTAAAATTTTAAATAACCATATTTTTTTATATTGTATTTACCGGAAATCTAAAATTATCAAATTTACTTTTAATTATTTTTTCTACTGCTATGATCTGTGTCGTTGGAGGAGTCGTGGGACCAAAAAGGGATTTCCAACTAGAGTTTTGTTTGAGTCTCCGCGTGCAGAAGAAAAGGCCAAAAGTAATCATCCAAGCTGACCAGTGACCAAGTCCATTTTGAAACTGTTCAATGTTATGGAGGTCCAAAAGCCATCATTCTCATATTCTGATATCCATAGCCAAAAATATATGCTTTATACTTTTGGGTCATGATTAAATATTGATCAATGTCTTGGGGATTTGGCAATTCAAAAAAAAAAAATGTAGGGTCCATCCAAGTTGACAAACGAAGGTGGTAGGAAAATCATCTAATCGGTGGTGTTTTTAGTCTCGTTATGGCTTGAACCTAAAAGATTACCCGGTTCTTATTCAAACAGTTATAGATTTCAATTGAACGAAAGCATTTTCGACTTAGCATTTGGTTAACTTAGCTCTCACCATTTTCATCGGAAAAGCTTTCGCGGCCTTGCAAAACAACAACCATTGATCCACATTTTTTATTGTCTAATTATGTGCCACGCTTGCAACTACACCTTTACGCCATGTTTAGTTGGGTGTAATATCCATTTCAGTCTTCTGATTCATTTTTTGAAAACAGAATAATTTTTCCAACTGATTGCACTATTCCTTGAAATCGTCAACTATTCATTTTTGGCTCTCACCTGACAATGATAACTTCTTGGCCATTCATTACGACCCAGAATAGATAAAAATATTTTTTTGACCATCTTACCCTTACATAATATTAAGTATTAAATAAGAAACATTAAAATAATATTAAATATTATTAAAATTAATTAAATGATTTTAAGATAATACTAATAAGCATTAAATTATATTAAATTTATTAAATAATATTAAATATTTTCATTAATAATAAAATTTATTAATTAATAAAATAATATTTAATGTTTAAATAATTTTAATTTATACCAATATTAAATGTTATTTAATTGATTTTAATATTATTTAACTAATCTTAATATTATTAAATTAATATTTGATATGAATTAATTAATATTAAGTAAGTAAATAATATTACAGTTAATTAAATAATATTAAATTTAATAAATTAGTGGTAAAATAATTAACTAATATTAAATTATTTAAATTATTTAATTATGTAATATTAACAATTTTAGAATTAACTAAATAATATTACATTTAATTAAATAATATTAAATTTATATTTATTAAGTAATTTTTATTAATAAAATTAATTAAATAATTTTAATATTAATTAAATAATTTCAATATTATTAGTATTTAATATATTAAATTAATATGTAATATTAAATATTAATTTAATAAAAATTATTTTATTTAATATTTAATACGAATTCTTCCTCAATTCTATTCTAAAAAACCAAATTTCATAATACATATTTTATTTTATTTTTTTCTATTTTCTATTCTCACAAAATACCAATTCTATTCCCCTCTATTTCACTCCACAAACCTAACATGCCTTTAAGGAAATAATTTTCGTACCTACACAGCTTTAATTTGTCTCTCTTTGGGTTTGTGGCAGCTGCTTTGCCTTAACTCGTCTCTTGGGCGTGATTCACGATTTTTGAATTTTTTTATAAAGGATGTCATGAATTAAAAAATTTATAATATTATAAATATTAAAATTTAAATTTTAGATTTATTGATAATATTTGATGATGATAAATACTTAACCTTTGTTAGAATATTATACAAAGTTATTAAAAAGGTCCAAAATAAGTATGATGCACAAAGGCTTATCGAAGTAACGTCCTCAGGGGAAAAAAATAAAATTCATCAACGAAAGCAGAAATACTCAAAATTCATGAGTGATATAATATCAATTATTATGCCTTCCGTTTGCATCAGCATCCATATACATCTATACATATTTTCGGTTCAATGGGCCATCTTATGCTTGGTCCTATTGGAGTCAAGTAATATATATATAAAATTGAATTGCAGTAAGCACCACTAATTTTAGTGGGAGGCTTAAATCGAAGTTAGCATTGCTTATCTTGAAACCTTTCAACCACATTTTTATGCTTGGAAATTATATGAAGTCACCAAAGGATAACTTCATTTCCTGTTAACTTACTCAACTTAAATGATCAAAAGCAATTAGATTCAATACTAATTCACAAAATTTTTAATTATCCTATAGTAGCTATTTGTAATTTATTAATCAACCCATCAAGTATAAAAATATATTTAATTAAGGATATTTAAGGGTTATGAAAGCGGGAAAAGTCCTTATTAATAAGGAAAGAGGTACCATACTATACACTAACCTTGGGTAAAATTATGGACATTAAATGTAAAAACTTAAGTTAAATGTATTTTATTATTTGATTAATTCAAAAATTAACTAAATTAATTTTGATTTGTTAAAATTTTGAAATTAATAAATTTAGTTTGGTTAATGAAAATAAAATAATATAATTCAGTTAATTCAATTTTAAGTAATTTGATTCAAAATTAATCAAATCAACTAAATAAACACTCATAATAGTACTATATATATATATATATATATATTAGATTCCTTTTATTTTGTGGAAATTGACTTTTAGAGAATAT